TCGCTAGTCTATATCTATCTATATATATTTACCAATATAATATAATATTTTCAGAGCCCTTTTGTAATTAATATGGATAATCCTTAAAAGATGGGCTAAATCCTGTTGGATTATTCTTACTTTTCTTTTACATTAAATCTGTTTGTTTATTATTATTATTATTATAGAATTGATTATATCCGCTATGTATTAATATAAATAGTCTTTTTAAAAAAAAAAATTGTATTAGTGGTGTAATATATATGGACTTGCCCGCCTCCGATTACAACACCTACACAATCAAGAGCCTCCGGGAGGGAATTCTTGTCCTTCCAACGCCATCAATTACCATGGAAGTTCTTTTCATTGGAGTTGATTATAAGTTCGTAGTGTATGTTTGACTTGATTTTTTTTAATTTGAAAGTTATTATAAAATTTTTATAAAAAATAATAATTTTTAAAATTAATGTAAAATTATTTGATAAATTTACTTTTTATAAATTTTTTTTATAGACAAGATGCTAGGCAAACTAATTTATTTAAATTTTAATTTTGATTAAAATTACGTATTTAATAAATCAAAAAAAATTAAATCAAATAAAAAAGATGAATGTGAAACAAATATAATTTTTTCTATAATATTATGAATTGCTGAAAAATAAAAGAAGAATATAAAAAAATATTTGTCGTTATTTTTGAAAGATTGACTTGAAATTTATGATATTTGAAATTGAATAAAATTGATGTTACATACTAAAAAGAAGACCCAAAGTAGTCTTAATAATGGATCCAACTGGGTTAAGAAAATCATATTTAGCCATTGATTTGGCAACCCACTTTCTTGTTAAAATCATCAACACTAATTCCATGTAAGTCTATAAAAGTCTTGATGTCCTCACCAACAAAGTTCCCTTTCATGAATAAAAAGATTTGGCTTTTATATTTTTTTTCTTATTTTGTAATGGGCTATTTATTTTATCAAAGAGTGCCACATCATTTGTTGGGTAAGGTTAACTCAAATGTAGAATTCATTGTTAAGAAGTTTAGGGATTCTGCAATTCTTATTGTCAAAGAAATTAAAGTCTATTTTAGTTTTCTTGTAATGCAACATATTATTGTACCTAAAAGAAAAAAGTCTTTAAATTTGAGTTACCACAAATGAGTACAAATATTAACTTTTCAATTTTCATCTAATTTATCTCACAATCATTGACATATTTGATTAATTATTTCAATCATAATCAACAAATATTATATATATCAGAAAAAAAGTAAAGAACCAATAAACATCACATAATTATCATATCAAAAATAAACTGAGAAATATCAAACAATAAAGAAAGTTTTCAAAGCAAAAAAAAAGATAAAAAATAAAATAAAAAACAAAACAAAAAAAGAAATAACACCTTAATACAATTTTGAATTTTGAGTTTTATTTTTCCTTAATTTTTGTAATAACCAAAAAAAACCCAAGAAGGATGATTTACTGAAAATGGGAGAGATGAGGGAGATCCATAGGGAGAGAATAAAGGATATTTTTTGATAAAGGTTCTTTTTGGGAAAAAAAATAACTCTCTTAAAAACTTAGCATTTTTTTAAGAAAAAAAAAAGAGAAAACTTCTATTAGGAGCTCTTTTTTAAGCTTTTTTTTTTCAAAATTTTATTCTTTAAAAAAAGCTTTTTTTTTAAGTGCTTCTTACAAAATACTATTTGGCTTAACTTTCACTTTTAAGAAATAAATAAGCTAAAAATAAGTTAGACCAAACATGCACTTAATGCAACTCTCAATCAATAAGAGTTAATGCGTGTCATGCAAACAGATGGATATGTTCTTAAAAAAAAATTGTTTTGATTGTTTGCATTGCAATTATAAAAGGTTTTTTTATATATAAGTTTACATATTTTAATTTGTTTATTATTTTTAAATAATGATATATTGAAGATTTTGTATGAGGGTCGTTAAAGAATAATTATATAAGGTCATAAATCAGGTCGATAGGATTTTGTGTGAGGGTTAACTTACATTTCTTACCATTACTCCAAATCAATTCATTTGATTTATGTAAGGATGGCAAAACTAGATATTTTGAATTTTATACACACAAAAATAAAAAAAAAATTAAAAATTGAGGGGGGGGCACTGCCCTTGTTTATAAAATAAAAATTTTAGAGTGAATACACTTTGCATTGGAATTATAAGGTGTTATATGTTAGAATTTTCTATTATGTGAACTACTATTAATTGGTAATTTCAATTTAATAAAACAAATCGATAATTTAGTTCTGTTGTGAGACAAATCATGAGACCCTAATTAATATTAAAGTGATCTATTGATGATGAGATTTGCACGTCTTATTGGGTCAATGTGGTTTGGCGGTTGAGTACGCCTTGGCTCAAAAAGCCTTTAATGAGAGGTTTCTACTAGGTTTTATTATTTATATATTTGACTAAGTCCTTTCTTCACTTCTAATGAATGGTCTTTGCCCATTGTAAGCTGCCCAAAAGGAAAAGAGCAAAGAAAAAGATCTAGCCTTTACCAATAGTTCTGTAGTATTCCGTAACAAGAAATGGCTACCCTAACAAATCAAATAGGTACACAATTATAAGTATATGACTCTTGGTGTTTTAATCTTCACACATGGATATAGCAATTTGTAGCTACATGCGGATTAGGGAATTGGTTCACCTTAACGTGAAAAATTTGAGAGTCGCCATCAATCTTTTTTTATAAGATGTGATTGGCTAATTATTACATTCGTTTTATACAAAGAAATCCTAAATTAATTTTAAGTTTGGCTAAAGAATTAAAACTTTATCTACGAATTTTAAAGTTAGGTTTAGGAGTACAATTACTCACAGGTAAGGATTAGCACCTTGTGATACCCATTC